ATCAAAAATCGGGCAGGACGACTCGTCCTCAGTCGGTGTTTACGAGGCTGTCGAACGAGTGCCTCGACGAACGACGCTTATACTGCGCGAGTATAGTCTTGTAGGGAATACATCGAACAACGCGTTTTCGATTATACGCGGATTTCCAATCAATTTACCTACTTAGCATATTCGTCCGTGTGAATTAAGTGCCGCTGTATACAAGAAGCTAGTGCACCGAATTCAAGAACACAACGAACAGCTCTGCTTGGAAGAAAAATCAAACGAGAATACGTGAATGTGTATGCGTGAATAATATGTAGGTATATATACGTACACAATCGAATGATTGAGTTAATTGAAATTAGAGGAGAGCCTACGTATAGCTAATTAAATTAGTTACTGCAACAATTTCGTTTTATCGTATCCTAAGTTTGTTTTTCTTGTAATAAGATGTGTTATAGCTGTGAAACAACAACAAATTAGTTTTTTTTACTATTGTCTCCCCGAGACATATTTCTATCCTTTTCTGGAAAAACACTGTCTCTTAGTAAACAACTAATTCTTTACACACGACCTACTTCGTTTGTTATTATTCTAACGACAATTGACACGCAGTGCAGATGATCGGACTTAAGTTTCCCGTAAAACCGGGGGATGGTTCTCAACTACGCGGATTTCCATTATGACTATTTATTTAAAATACCGATTCAAAATTTATTAAAATACGGACCCAATAAATAACAGCCAGAAAAATTTCAATCTCCACTAACAGAATAATCTATGGTAATCACGTTTGGCAGCTCACCCTGCACATCTCGTTCACCGGATCTCTCCAGAACACCTGACAAAACATTCCGCTGGAGATCGTTATCGATCGACAGTGATCGTGTCAATATTGTCGAAGAATTGAAAATCGTCGAAAGGGTTGCGAGCATGGCGGGACGTGATTTTTAGAAAAACACCGCCGCATGAATATGGATCGCCACGTGGCAGCCACGAGAAGTTTCGCGGTATAATCCGAGGTTATCTCGCTTCGACGACCGAAAAGTTTCGTTAAGTTTCGACACTCTCCACTGCGTCGAAACTTCCGGTTGCAACACCGTCGCGAGAATGGAGAACTCGGGGTTTTTTTTCCTTCTTTTTGCACCGACACGCGATCTTCGTTTTTAGATGCTTCCCTTTGAGCCACCGGTTATGCATGACAAAAAGGGTCCACCGTCTCTTTCTCTCTTTTTCTCTTCCTCTCTGTCGGCGGTGCGCCGAAAATTTTAATAAACATCGAGATAGGAGGAGTGTTCGGTGCACCGTGGACGTGGCTGGAAAGTTAACTAACTGCAGAGATTGGTCTCGATTTATTGATAACGGTGACAGATGTGTACATATACAGGGTGTTTCTGAAATGATGGTGCAACATGAAAAATAAGTCGCAAATGTGGAGTAAAATAGGAAGCTCTATTTTTGAATTAATCGATTTTCAGATTTCTATGAACGTTTTTTAGAATCCTTTCCGTTTTCCAAGTTTTCAGTGGAAGAATAATTTTCTCTTCGAGCTATTCCCTACTTGCATTCTCGTCGTGGGACACAAAAGACTTGACAGTGGCTTCGTAAGTGAGAATCCATCAGTGTCAACTTTGAGGACCGCGATGGATAAGCTATTTTATCATTAACAAGGAACATCACTCAACTGATACACGTCGAATTTGATAAAATTTATTAGACCAATTTTTTTTTTTTTTTTTTTAGCTGTTGATATTCATGTTCAGGTGGTAGAATCAGTTTTTAAACGGAGGGGTTGAAAAATACTAAACAACGAAAAGTGTTAAATATGAATTCTGTTTTCTTCTTCATCGAATACGAAATTTGGGCAAGATTGTGTAAGTCTGATCTACCGGAGACGTTGGTTTTTTGTCGTTCATTTTGTTGTCGATAAAGCGCAACAGTAATATCAACATCGATTTACTTAGAAATGAAGCTTCATGCGAAAAAACTTTCTCTTCATTTTGTGTAGATTCATTTTCTGTGTTGTAAACGCGCTGTATATTCAGCTACGTTGGAGTGGATATATTTTTCAAAAAAATCTAAAACTGTTCAATATTCCTCGGCGACACTTTCAAAGGCGCGTATCAACCCAGTTTCCGCATTACATTTTACCTCATTTCCACGAAATGCCCTTTTTTCCCCACGGAAACGCTATTATTCGTACAATTTGCCCGGTCATAAAGCCGAATGACATTCAATTTCGTAACTTTTGAAGGAGTCTCCTTTCGCTGCGTGGAACGAGCGAAACGACTCGGGCAAAACTCGATCAGAGTAATACAAAATCAATTGTAAGGTAATTAAAAGCGAAGAGAGGGAGAGAGAGAGAGAGAATTCGTCGTCGTTTCCGCGGGCATAAAACTTGCCGAAACTCGATCGCGAAGTGAGCGCCGGTTATTGCGCTGTTTGCATTGGCCGCATTCATTTGAATTTTAAACAGTTTTTCCGATCTTTCCGTAAAACGATGCCGTAGATTTCATTATACGCAATTACGAGCCTCTCCACAGGGAACGCCGCCACGTCTATGGTATCGACGGACCGTTAAGAGGAACCTTTGTTTGCGTATTTTAATTAATACGCCGGAGACAAATCTCGTTTCACTTCGATCTGTACAATTTATCCGTCGTTTTTAAGCTTCGCCTTTTTTCTTTCCCCCTCCCTTCACTCCATTGAAATTTTCTCTTTTCATTCACGTCTATCGAAGGAGTTTCTGTGGTTTCTTTTTCTTTCGGTGTATATGGAGAACGAGAAGGGGCGAAGGAAAAATGGAGCTATAATAGAAAATTGCGAAATTAGTTCGCATTGCGTGCACTTGTAGTTACAAGCGTCGCGTAGATGACTTTCTGCACGCCACTGAATCATCAGCCCAAAGGGCCACGATAACGAGATAACATGTTACGAAACAGAGTCAATTAAGTGATCCGAGTTATACACGCGTCCACCACGCAATATTGGGTTTTCACCGTGCCTTTCGCTGAAATAATATCGAGCTAGCTATGCTTGCGAGAAATCGTAGAATTCGTGCAGAAAAGTCCAAAAATTCGCTAATCTTAATTCTGCAAAACAGAGACTTTTAATTTGAAAACAATTACTATCTTGTCACTCTCATTTAAGTGACAAAAATTGACAATTCTTAGTATGAATATCACCAGTGTTCTTTGAAACTAACAATTTCACAATGGGACACGTTTCTGAGGATCCTACTTTTTTTACCTTATTTCCAATATTTATTTTTCCTTGAAAATACCATAGAACATATTTTACAATAAACCAAAATTTTAGAACTAATTTAAAAATTTTTTTTTTTCACCCTACTTGTGGCTTCATAACATCATCCATGCTGAAAGTGTTGAGAATTACTCTAAGCCATAGAACAAGTTACTTTTCGATATTCCAGCTCCCTCTTCCAGTTCATCAGGATTACGCACTAGCCTACTTCCGCTAGGCCACGTGTATCGGTAACGTGATCACGTACCGGTAAAATAAATACTATAGATTGTCCACTTGAGAAAAATCCGATCAATCATCTGACAATAGACCACTCGATCGTCTCGTAATCTGAAAAAAAAAAACAATCTTTCAAGTCAACCAACGCGTACATACAGTATTGAAATTAAAACCATAGACGCGGTGGTTGTAGAGTGGCCTCCACGTGTGGCGGATGTTATAGTAGGTCCCTGTAATTCGCGCCACGTTGGAATTCCAGCGCTTCCGGGGGCCGGAATTCAAGTGTATCATCGATTCCGACAGCGTTGTTGCTGCGTGCACGCGGACGGAATAAATTGCATGCAATTTTAAAACAGAACACATTCCGTGCGGACAGGAATGAGAAACGAGTCGAGCAAACATCAACCTCGTGCGTGGAGTAGAATGCAGTTTGTAAATAACGGATGAGCTTGATGATAGAACTGGTTACAAGATCAGAAATTAATCGGGGAATTATGGAATTTTTAAGTAACATCACCGCTGGTATTCTTTAAATAATTTATTCGCCGTTCATTACACTTTGTAACATCGAGTTATATTTCACGTACAAATATACTTCGTATTTAAAATAGTAGACGGTCCACTCTTCGTCTCGTGTATATAAAGCTCATTTTCATTTCTCATTTTTGTAATGAATATTTTGCAAAAATAATACATAGTTCTCGGTTCGGCGCGATCTTTAGAAAAAATATTCAGTAGGACATCGTGAGAAGTATATCTATGTGTACGAAGAGTACTCACCAGAATCTCCCCGATAACAGATTTCTAATTGAACGATTCAACAAATATGATGCGATAATGCTAGATAAAACTTACACTTTTCGCGTAGAAATGTCGTATGTATGTATGTATATGTACACGTATGTTACAAACTTCGCTTCGATCCTCTGTCACAAGGTTTCGACGTGAATATCGGATAGTTCACTTTCTTTTTGTTTCGTTTCCTGCAACTTAAATGATAAATACGTATGTTGCTCGTAAGTAGCACTTACTCAGCCTTACAGTTGTCCTAGTCTTGAAATGCGGCGTTTGGTGTCCCGGAGGACACTCGATTAGGGCTGTCACGAAAACCGGAATACATATTCGGTGTATTCGAACACACCGAAATATTCGGCGCAATTTGAAATTCAAATACTTCCAATATTTGAATTATCCGAGTAAAGAATTCGTTCTCGAATTATTCGAATAGTTCGACTGGTCGAACTTTTACAGCCCTACACTTTCCAAGCGATGTATAGGAAAGCAGGTTTCAGTTATTAATAACGGCGCAGTCGTGAAAAATTTATAAAAATACTGTATTATTGAACACTGCTTTTCTTTCTATCTCGCGGACAGGATGAATCGTTTAACATCGTAAAGTGAGCCGTCGTCGTGTTAAAAATTAATCCTATTCGTTCGAATAATTTGCAAATTTCGTAACAAGTAATACTTAAGTTTACAAAGAAGAAGAGAACATAAACGTACGATGTTGAAAAATTTGAAAGGAAAATGCGCGTTATGCAGTTTAGCTCGAGAAATGGTTAGAAATAAATTAATTAAAAAAAAAAACAATGATGCTGCAGAACACTCGAAGAATCTGAGGAATTACGTATCAAGTTAATTCTCGCGTAGATAATTTAAATTAATAATATCGTCATTCTTATTTATAGTAGCACCCATGTTCGATACTCAGAACTTCGTTGTTCCGTTGTGCATAATTTCGATCGTCGTTCCTTTGTTCAACAAACGACGACGATTACTTCCGTTCAGCCTTAGAACTAAGTCTCGATAGGAAATCTGTCGCCTGGATGTCTCCCTTTCTGTGTTCTAACGCTTGAATTATGTCCGTACCTGAACATAAAACGGAAGAGAAAAATGTGATAAAATTAGATCAGATAAGAACGATCGATTAACTCTTCGTTAGAAGAACAACAGATCGAACGTACTTTTCTTCGTTGGACGTGAAAGATTCAGATGAATCTGATCGAGAGACTCGATTCCTCGATCCGATCCCGTCTCAGGGATTTCTTTGAACGACAGGAAAGCTTCCGCCATGAATCTCGATCTGAGAAAGTCCTTGTCCTTCAGCTCGAAAGCTATGATCGCGTTTTCGGTCGCCCTTTGCTCGCTGGTTAGAGGACTAAAAAAATATAATTAAACATCTACGGTGAATTTGTGTTGGAAATTTCGTGTTTCGGCAGAAATTGATTGCGAAGTAACTGTCCCAATTTTACCATCGCATATTTTTACTGTTCATTCGTCGATAAATATGAGAAGGCAATTCTCACTTACATGTTGAAAATTTCATCGTACAGAGGATACAGGTTTTCTTTTTGCACGTGAGTCTTAGGCAATTTCACGTCCGCGAATTTTTCCTCTGGCAGTAGCCTCACCTTCACGTACGAGTCACAGCTGCCTGGAAAATAGAAGGGGCACTGTTGTTGATAATATCTTTTCGGGATATACCAAAGGACCCCAAATGTGGACTCATGCACGGTGAAAGTGACTATCACAGTTTTCGATGGTTATCTACGAGGTTCCAGAATGTCGGTGACATTTAACAGACAACGCGTAACAAGTGGGACAGAACTAAATTCATTAGGAATCAGACATTCGTGAAATAATTATTCTACTGTTCGTAAATAGGAACCTTATAGAGGTTCGCATCATTCGTGACAAATTTCGAACTTTCTAAATCGGGAAGATTCTTTTCGATGCTCTAAAATGTTCGTACATTCTCTAACTACACGAATGCAAGGTAATACAGAGAGTAATTAAGAGTTCTTTTGTGGGCCGTGTTCATGCAACTTGAAATGTGACTAATTGTCGCGTGTGCAAGCAACCGAATGAGAAACTCTAAATTGGACATCCACGTTTACATACTTGTCTTCCATTCTTTCAGTCTTTGTTTAGATTTTGTATGAAGCTTGCGTTTCAGAGTAGACACCTTGCCTACCAAATCGCCTATAAAATCGAAAGAAAATGTCATTCTCCTTGTCGCGAATTACTCGCTCATTCCCGTTTTTTGATATCAGTAAAACAGGCAACGAAAGAACGATAAAGTAGACTACGAAGTGCAGCTTTTTGCTATAATTTACGTTTCAAGTATTTTCTACCGCGTTTGCAATTTTCTTTCTTTCTAATTTGCCGGTTAATTGTACTCGGTGATGCTTAAAATTCGATCGATGCGATTATCTGTAAAGTTCAATTATATTCGAAGACAATTGTGATCAAATTTGTGTTTATTGGATTATTTAATGACCGTGAAAAATAGTTCGAATTGTATTGTTGGTTTATTCAAATATTTGCCAATTAATCAGCACTCTGTGTGATGAATATTTTGTAGAAATAAAAGACTATAATAAATATTAATTTATAAGTAAATAAGTAAACTAAATAAAACAAAATAAAATATAAATTCTTTATGGAAAAACATATGTCAATTTAACGTCATTTTCTTCGTTTAATTAAGCACCATGTTTAAAAATATATATATTTACAAATTCAGAAGATAATCACATTTCTCATTTTATTAGAATCACCTCCGAAAAAAATAAAAAATCCCCTACAGTCATGCGACCTCTAAGTCACAGTCCCATACCAAAATTTTCTGCAAAAATGTGTTCAATTTATGTTCACTTACCATTACTGTCAACTGGACGTAGCTTCCTCGCGTTCAAGATCTGAATGTTCAAAGAATTGTCGACGAACTGCGCCCTCACAGTGATCTGTCCGTATTCCGAATCCTCCAACACATTTTGCTCCTTGATTCGTTCCTCGTGATAACGATGTATCAGTTCGGCTGTCTCTAGACCGTGAAGTACCAGAAGATGCTCGATTTTTTCCAAAACCTTCACGTTTGAAGTTTCGTCCGCGCCGATGTTAAAGTATCGAATGAGGGAATGCAGAGTGCGATGGAGGTTCGAGTAAAACGAGGGTGGCCTTCTTTTCTGTTGAACGAAAATGTCGAAACTTCGTTCAATTTTGTGGTATCAAAATGAGAAACGATAGCGTGAAAATTTGACAAGTAGGTACCTCTAAATTGCTGTGCACCAACTGGTACAACGATTCCGATATTATGTCCCAAGTAACAAGCAAGACTCTCTCGAAGTTGTCTTCGTTAAGATTGTCGTGCAGAGTTGTTAAATTATTGTCTAGATATTGTAAAAGCCGGTCCATGGAATTGCTGGTCGTGTCTATCAATTCTGCACCCTCCATGAGATACCTTAATATACAAATTTAAATAACTGTTTTATATTTTTGCAATTTCGATAAATTCGTATTTCACATATTTCAGAAAATTCCTAAATTTGATCATTTCTTTTTTTTTTCTAAATTCGCGTACCTGTTCATAGCAGGGGCCATTTTGTGCGCCACCACTTGCAACAAATCAATGATTTTGTTCTTAACAGTGTCTGTAGCATTGTCGATGATCAGCTGAAGAGTCTGTTGACACCTGTAAGAGTCTTCCTGAGTTTTCTTTTCCGCCAATGCATCCACGATACTCTGGAGCCCTAAGTCATTAGCCAAGGGTCTAATGGACGTCCTGATATAGTCGATATTGTTGATCGCGAAACACCATGCAGTGGATACGAAAAATCTCTTCTCATACACGCTGCTTTCGGATAATTGCTCTAACTCTGTAGTTAGTTCTGCCTTTTTGGCCATTTTGTCTGCGTAAGCAACTGAACACTTGCAAATGTCCTGAAGAACAACAAATTAAAAAATTTTAAATTCATATTTTTTTAGTTATGCCTTTATCAAAGCCACGCAGTGAAATTATAAGTGATGAAAAAGAAATTGTATCGGTTACTTTAAAAAAGATTCTGATATCATGAATCGTGTCAACTGTATTCTATAAAAAAGACTATATTTTTATCGAGGAACTATATAACTCACGTCGATAATTTTGGCAATGAAAGTGTAGGAACCCTCTACATCGGGCCAAGCTAGCTGTGTCCAGAACACTTTGATTTGATAGAATATTGTCAAGGTATCCACGGCACTCGAGCTGTATTGGACGGTATTATCGACTGCTTGTAACGTATCAAACTCCACGGCTCTGTCGATTCGTTTCAGCGTTTTGTACACTGCAATATCGAGCCAATGCGCCACGCCAGCCCTGAACCACTCGTGGTAACTCTGCACTTTCATCCCTTCGATCTGTCCCTCGGCGCACAGCACTTGTCCCAGACTGAAAAGAATCGATTTTTTTCAATTACTTTTTTCGACATTGAGGATCAATCCAAAGAACTTTATTTTTAATATCTCTCAGTTAGAAATCTGGGACAATTCGGTGAAAGTAATTCTGATATAGAAATTAATAAATCTCGCTCTCCTTATGCCAAAATCGTAAGTATGTAAATTTTCACTCTTTGAGTAAAGTGGGTTTTTAATTTTCACTTTTTGAGTGAAGTGAGATTTTAATTTTCACTCGTTGAGTAAAGTGGGTTTTTAATTTTCACTTTTTGAGTAAAGTGGCTTTTTAATTTTCACTTTCTGAGTAAAGAGAGTGTAAGAAAGGAAACAACAATGAAAAGTTATTTTACAGTTAAATTTAAGTCTGAAATAAAGACTAATATCTGCAAGCAAATTTCAAAATCTTTGATCTCCATAATCTCCATAATTTACAGAATCTCAGACTCACTGGATTAGCATAAGAGAAATGTCACTTGATGTTAATGTTATTTTGATTTACGCAATCCTGCACTTACGCAACGTATCTCTGTAACGCCAGGTACAACCCAAACAACGTTGTTCCCAGATTCAACTCGACATCAGCATTCTCAACCTCGATCCTCTTCAACCTTCCACAGATGTCTTCCACGATGATCATGCACATATCGCTGATCCTCTTCTCGTACATCACGTACAAACATCTTGCGTAAGGGAAGTTGATTCGTCTGGAATGAGAATCAATTTGAAACAATGTTCGCAACAGATTGTCAACCCTTTCTGGAAGTGTCTCAAGGGCTTACTTGATGAATAATTTATCGTAGTAGTCGATAGCATTTTGCAAGTCCGCCCTAACCAGTTGAATCACTTTGATATGATACTTCAACGCGTCTTCGTCGGATTCACTTTCTGGGAAATTGTTGTTCAATATGTGATCGAACCTAAAATAAAACAGAAACAAGATCTTTAATTTTCTACTTCAATATTTTCGAGTTGCAAATTTTCTTTTTTTTATATCGTTCAAGTATTTACCATTCTGCGCTACCCTGTTCAGCAGTGTATTTCAAAACGTCAAGTACGGTAAGGTGCTCCTCGGGATCCGGAATCCAAGGATACATTCTCGCGGGAAATAGGATTACGTCTTCAGGAACTTTAAGGCACGAGATGGACGACAGTATCCTAATAAGAGACAGAAAATTAAAATTATATTCTCAAACTTACAGACAATGTCACTTTAGAAGAGATTTAGTATCAAATAATTCCTCAACAATAATTCAACTCGTATTTTTGCTATCAACAATCGTTCGTATTTAAGGAGTGAAAATGAATTTCACAATTTTCTTCAGTATCTCAAAAATTATTACATATAGTGTTCTACAGGTATAACTAAACTTTAAACAAATTTTGTGAAACTTGGATAACAAGACAATGTTGTAATCATTGCATAATACTTAATTGTCGTAGATATTGGAACGATCCTAGCATATCAAAAGGAGGAAAGAAAACAATATAAATAAAAATTATTTAAAACAATATTTTGTACCAGTAAATGTTTAGAATACTCATTTCTACACTGAGCAATAATTGCATGATAGTCAAGTACAACTGTCAATTGTAACTCTTCAATTCTAATCACAAGCCTGAACCAATAATTACCCCAAAATCGCGGATAACTGTGTCATAGTATTCTTATCTCCAACAGTGAGCCTCCTGATTTTGCGAATACTATTAAGGCACGAATACAACAGTTTCTTCGTTGCATCCCAGAAAAGTCTGTTCTCGTCCACTGAGAACAGGCCACTCTCCATGGGCCTCAAGAGATCCACTATTAATTTATTGAACACGATGAAGTTAATCGGATGTTCCTGATGAATTCTGGCGTATTCTATCCATTGGGCCAATGTCACGTTTCTAGCCAGCAGACCTCTTTGCGCACTGTGCTGGAGAAGAAGAACTTCCGCTGGCGCTGACCATCGTCCGCACCAACAGTACTTCTCTATTTTCTCCGTTTCGATTTCGTGCAACAATAGAACCCTGATCAGGTGTCTGTACTCTTGTGCTGCTACCTGAGCGTTGTGCTCCGCGCTGAAGGCTAGTCTCAGTTTCACCACTCCACGGCGCTTCGATTTGTTCTTCTTCTCCAGGGAGTACCACATCGTGTGGCCTGTCGTTGGAATATCCTGAAATTCGATCAGAAACAGTTGTAGAATTATTTTCTCATCGGTGAAAAATTTTGTAACTTTTGATTTATGGAAAGAGAGAACTGTGGAAAACTCGAGGAACTAGTAAAGTAAAATTAAAGGGAAATTTTAGAAAATTAAACTTAAGATTTTTGTGAATTTGTAAATTAACATTTTTTTAGTAGGTATTAGGCAGCGATTCTCAGGTAGCTTTAAAGCAAATTTGAGGAAGATAAGAGATCTCTCGTTGTAATTATTTTATCACTACCTTCAGAGGTATACTACAGCGACCGATGAACTCGTTATCATGGCTGCCAGTCGTGGCGGTAACCGCGATTTCCTTCGCCAGTTTCACCAATCCTCGCACACCCTTAACATCCTTCACCTTACTCATCTTCTCAGGAACTGTTTCAGCAGCGTCAAAATCCCTTAAGAAAGAACACAGTGTTTAATCACCTTATCTACCATAAGAATTGAATCATCAAGTTAGGGTCTCTTTATTTTAGGCTTACCATACTTCCAAAAATAGTACGTCATTCTCTGGGTCAACTAGGGGTCTGCAAAAAAAGCACCATTGAAATTATCTCAACTACTCTTCACAGACCACTTTCCCTCACACTTTGCTTTAACCCTTTCCTGACTAACGGGACACGCATGTCTCACTGGAGTACTCGAACAAAATTTATCGTCCGTTACAGATGCGATGATCGATAAATAAATAATAAATTCTTATAAATATAAATTCTTAAAAATAATAAATTCATTAATAATAAAAAAATTATTCTGTCACGAAAGGGTTAAGCAATCACGTGTCTCTCAACTCACAATTCGAAGTGTTCCTCCCACACAGGGCTCAGTGTGAACGTTTTCACGGCAGTGTTGTACCTCCTCGTAGGGGCTGATTCGAGGTAAAGGGCGCAGAAAGGATCGCTCTTGCCATTCGAGTCCTTCGACACGAGCTCCTTTGCTTCGATCACTTCAACGTTCAAGTGCATTTCCGGTGGCTGTGTAAATTCGAAAGTAATGACTCCGTGCTTCGTAATTTCAATTATATCGCTGATTTCTTGAGAATCGCGATGGAATTCTTACCTCCATGTTCCTTGTCTCCTCTAGAACCTTCTCGTGCGTCTCGTTGTCCACTTTGAAAGCATTTTGGAGGTGGTTGAGCAAACTTTCCTGTGCACACTCGTTGGAAACGTCGTAGCCGATCTGGTGCTGGGTCATGTAGACTAGGGCAGCATAGAGCTCCTCGATCTGTAGTTAATATAGCAAATTTCAAATAATATTTTGTTAAAAATGTTCGATATTAACTAATATTAAACAGAAACATATTTTCGTGAAATTTTCTACGAAGAATTTATTCAGAAATCGAGAAATAATGTATAATACATATATAAATTTTTGAACAATTTTCGAATTGTGAAAAAGTGAACGAATTTGTCTAATTTGAATATAAGTCTCTTGAAATTTACGTGACAGTGAACGGAAACACATTTTCATCGAATTTCCTTCGGAGAATGAATCCCAGCAAGCGCATGATCTAGTATTAAACGTTCTCCAATATATCAGCAATGTTTTTCTACTGTCACAGCTTCCTTGTTGGACGTCAGTAATTGGATTATAGAGAAACGAAACGCAATCATTTACGTCACGCATAATTGTAACATCTGCTAAGTGTAAGACGCACTGTTAACACAACGAGACTTTAACTGCATGTTGTTCTGCGAAATCGTCGCTCGTGCCGATATTCACCGTTCAAAGTTCGCGCCTGTCTCACAGTCGAACGTTGATAGTTTCTGTTGCTCTTATTCTTATCTCATCACCAATATTGGAACGTTGTATGAGGAGCAAACAATGAGTAAGTTCCGAACCACTGTGCTTAAGTACATTGGGAGAAAAGGAAACTTCACGTTTGGTGCTTGTTTGACAAAGTAAGCCTATCTGAGATTTGTCCGATCAGTTGAAAACAAAATTATATCGTGTAATGTGAAATGTCACGTTCGTCTTGATTAGATATACCAACTTAACAAGAATTTTATGAACTTTCAGTTAGCTCGAAACTCGATTAATTAGCGAACAAAAATAGAATTTCGAATTAAAAATTTCGAAAAATTTGCTAATCCGTGTTTCTAATTTGACATTCGTGTTAATTCGAATTTCTAATCCGACATTTCACGTTAATTCGAATTTCTAATTCGACATTTCATGTTACACGACCTAATATACACACGAATTTCTAATTTAATTCGGAAATTTATCGATTTTCGTGCGAAATGAAAATTGACGAAAAGAAAGTTTACTCGTCAAATTTCCGGCTTCCCGTTTCAAAAATTTCAACTACACAAAAACCACAAAAAACACAGATTTTTGATTCTGTCGTACGCCGAACAGAGACCAACCATAATCGCTGTCGATTCGACTCACCGTCATCGCCTGCAGCAGAGTGTTCGTCCTACGCTCGATCTCCGCTTTGGGCACTCCGCGAAAAGTGTTTCTTCCCCTGTTGAGGGTTGCCACCCCGAGGGGTGGACTGGTGCTCACCATTTTCTCTCGAATTCACAAACACGATCCTCTCATTTCACTATTCTTCCTACTTCACGATCACTTTTTCGCATGCTACACCTACGTTCAATGTCCACGAAAATCCTCGATTCTTTCGAGCTTCTCATGCACCGGCTGTACGAAGAAAACATCCCATTCATTAGATGTACGCGATTCCGAATGTTTCCGCGTAAACGATTTCGAAAGACGATTTAGAGCGCGACGATCACCCACGGAGGAAGAACCACGAAGCTGTCGGCCAAGAACAATACCGTTCTCACTTCCGCTCGCCGACACTTTCGGCTTCGAAATAGAACAAAGGCTCTTATGCTAACGTTTGAAACGATCGAAAAGAATTACGGGAATAATTGACTTCACGTTGGAAGTATCTGAGAAATCGCGAAACCTGCGTTGTCGAATATACTTAGTTGTTGTTCGAAGAACGATCCGGAATCGCCTGACTTCCGAAAGTGCTGCACACGCGATGAAGTACACGAACTGCTTGAAAAGCGAGAAAGCGTGCAGTCGCACTTTGCCTGTCGAGGATGAACTTCTACAGTGACCACGACCTTTCTTATCGGGCTACGCATATTTATTCGGCCGTGTGTATGCATAATCGAAGAACGGAATCTAATCGACCATGAGAGCGATCTCGATAGCGTTTTATCGTGGACATCGCTTGAGAAGTATTTGGATTTGTTATTGATGGGTGTAGTTCTGTTTGAAGAAGCCAAATCCATTAACCGAATGATTGTAGTATTGATAATAGGATATTAGTGATTTTTTTATCTCTGGAGTATTTAGGGAAACAATATTGAAATTTTTGAATTACCGATAAGTGAATATGAAAGATTTTTTATTTTTAGAAAATTTGGGAAAAGAAGGCTGAAATCTTTGTATCACTTTGTAGTACTGATGATAGGATATTAATGATTCTTTTATTTTTAGAATATTTGGGGAAAAATACCGAAATCTTTGTATTACTGATAATTGGATGTGAATGATCTTTCTATTTTTTCAATATTTAAGAAATTGATATGGAACAATTTCCAAGTTCATGTTATCATTAATATATTGTACTAACTGGTGAGCTAGAAAATTACTTTGTTACGAAAGTTATTAAAATACATAGGCTAATTTTGTCACACTTCTCACGATATTGACCTAATTCCGGCACTTAGCGTAACTGAATTCATTCATCCTACTCAATTACCCAGTGAAATGGAGAGATACACTTTCCTGTTTATGGAATAACCTAGAACTACTCTAAACAATGTAGTTCGATAACGAAACTAAATATTACGCAAACTAAAAAAACAAATTTTGTTCTGTTTCTTTATTCCACTTTCTCAGTACTCTATTATGTCATTCCATAAGTTCGTACCGAAAGCAGCAAACATTTTAACGAAAATCCAAGGAAATTCTACAGCAACGACATAATAATCTTACCAAAAAAATCGGAAAAATTATTGAACGAGAATTTTTTTGATCAAATTTAAAGGTTCGTTGGAGACATTGATCTGAATTATAAAATTCGACATAAACTTACGAAGCGAGCTAATAAAAAATTTGTAAAATATGAAAACAAAGAGAAGTCGCTAATTCCATTAAAACTCGAAACTGTTGCATATTCAAGGCTCCACATACCATTGTCATAAAGTCCAATGGAATTTTGACGAGCAATTTAAAAAACGGCCCTGATACACTTAAAATTTACTTTTTCCCGAGACTCTTCGTTGCGCAACCACCAGTTTGTAAATCGTTCGTTCTGATCTTCGTTTACCAGGCAAATTTCTGAGGTTGCTCTTTTTTTAGCGCGTTCCACCCGATCGACCTCTCGAGAAGAACGTCGGGAACGCGACGACGTTCGACCGAAATAGTCGATTCTTCGTTGCTGGGTCTTGGAAAAATGGTTCATGGAAAGAATCCGAGAAAATTTCACTCTCTCTCTCTGAAATCCATCAGCGAACAACTTCTCCGTTCTTTGTGGAAATGGAGAAGCTCGGTGTATATCGGACTCGATTACTTCGCGTGGTCGCCTCCCAATAGGAAGGAGTTTCTTCGAAATTGATCGTATCCACGCGAGATAGACGTAGAAGAAGATAGAAAATCAGTTTGGATCAGCGGGTCACTGGGAACCGCGAAAACTAGGCCATAGTCTTTACCAGACCAACAGCTGCCAAGAGCAATTGACTCTGACAATGAGATTCCATGTATTTGTATAGATTTCGCGGTTTGGCTAACATTGGCCTTATTGGCTTCAGACTTAAGAAAGGGGAATATTTGTCGTGAGTGTGGGACAAGTTAGGACATTGATTATAAGAAAATTTGAGGACATGTGCTGTGCTCGAAATTGGGGTGAATTGTTTATTCATTCGCAGATTATTCGATGCCAAAATTTCGAGAAAAAATTTCGCGATCACTAGGTGAATTTAGAAATTTGTTATCAATTTTATTGAGTATACTGCTCGAAGAAATGTAACTTATTCATATACCGTGTATCAAAAGTATAGTCTTGATTTAGCCTTGCTAATTCTCATATTAAATTTCGATAGCTTTTAGGAATTATCGAGTTCTCTAGTTTAACCCAAAATGTATTATTTCTTGTCTAAGAATATTTCATCTTACTGGTTTCACACTTTCAATTCGGAATATCCCATCATTCCCAGTACAAGAAAAAATGTTGAAACCATTTTCAACCAATACTCAAATCTTTCGTAATGAGTGTTCAACTCCACTCGAGTCAACGACCAAAAATTCTTTCACGAAAGGGTTAATACACTGAATCTTGCGCAGTTCCAAGCACCTACCCATTGATAAACAATCAATTCCTCCGAAGTGGAGAAAACGGAACCAGCAAATCGAGGTGGAAAGGAAGGGCCATTTCCCGTTTAACTCGTTCAAATCGCCGTTCAGTCGTGAATCGGAACAAACACCCGCGACATCGGAGCGAACTCACATTTCACTCGCCCATTTCTCTGGCTCGCTCAGGGCCGCCAATTTAAATATCGGGGACTTGCTACGGATTGGCCGTGCTGTTAACTCGAGGACCAATGGAAAAGGCGAAAACAAACGACGATGAATCTAGACAAAGGGAAACTATGCCGTATCCTGTTTGAGGCGACCCACGGGACAAGTGCAACAATAATGCGTGTACGTGTGCTCGCGCAATTGCGCCCAATGAAAATTGATATACCACGGCAATTAGCTCATTGACCAAGAGGAGCAAGCAGCACGCGTAGATCGACGACGTCAGACGGCGCGGAGCGTCGCGACGTTCACGTCCTTCTGTGTCTAGGCCCAATTTCCCTCTCTGATTATGCAAGTTCACGCAAGCTGGCCAACCCACGCACTCCACTGATCTATTTTGCCGCGGGAACGAATTAATTTGGGAAACGCGAGCTTTTTCCGCGCTCGTCTCGTTGATTGACGCTTCTCGTTGCTACACTGCTTTGAATATTTTCCATACTTGGCGCTCTGATTTTAGGAATTTGAATTTTTGCACCTTGCTACACTGCTTTGAATACTTCGCATACTTAGTGCTCTGATTTTAGGAACTTGAATTTTTGAACCTTGCGTTGTGGTTATGAGGACACCGAATGTGAGAAAACTGTGTTTTCGAGAAATGTAGAATTTGATTTGGAAATTCGTGAGATTTAGACTGTCTGTATTAACAAATTCTTTTTTTTTTTTCATCTTACACTGTAAATTTCTTCTATGGAAAAATCGATGTAATATGAAATAAGTGATAGATTTTTTTTTTAATTTTTGACGTAGACTAGTTTCAGAGTGACTGGCACATATGTATTTAGATAGGATTTCTCAATCTTTATCTCACACAGAATGCTACGTTGATAAACGTTACAGATTTTGGTACTCGATGTAATCCACAGAGATAACTGGCCGCTGTGTTATCTTAATTATCTGAGAACTTACTTACTTATTAAGCGTGCCACTGAGTTTCTCAAATCGCGGTTATTAGACGAGGAAATTGTGAATCATCAGTTTTAATTTTGGGAGAGGAGCAATTTATCAAAGCACACATTTCAAACGTAAATCACCGAGAACAGGATGTTGAATTTACGAGCTTGTAAAAATCTACAGAGAAACGTCTCTTAAAGGTGAGCTTGAAGATCAGGTACTGAAAACTACCAAAAGATCTCTAACTTTGCCATCTTGGAAAATTCAGAGCTCGCACTGTTCCCGTTCACCAAAGTTCCCGAGCCATATTTTTCTCGTTTCACATCGGTGCTTCACAGAAAACGACGATTCTTCGGATGAACTTTCTTATGACGATTCTTCCACGAAGATTTCGATACGGAATGAAACTATGCCGCTGACAGTTTGCCAGTTTTTGAAGATACAGCACAGAAGACGATTGCCCAACCCAGTTTTCACGCTACGTTTGATTTATTTTTATTACTGCGCCGACTTTCCGATGAGCATCTGTCTCTGCGAGCTTCTGCGCCTCAATTACTAACAAATAAGACCCTCAAACGCTCAATTACTACACAATACACGATTCATCCATTCAGTCAGAAATCTTGTTCGCCACACCTCGAACCAACGATTCCCATCAACCCTACGTGCAAGTATGTACATCCAGTCCCGTGATTTTCTATCACTTACCAAAGTCCAAACATCACAAAGTTCACAGTAAGAAAAAAGAAAAAGAAAGGAAGAACGATCTGAATTAGAGTTAAAAAAAAGAACAGTTACTAATCATTTTACGCTACTTTTCCACACACTGACACGATACAAAGTCCACTTCACCGTTTCTTTCATTATTCTCCACTTGGTATTCCGTTTCGATTGCAAAATCACGAAATTTTCGACGAGTTTCTCTTCATTTGAAGTGACACTGTTCGATCAAGGGACACTAAGGGTTTCGATCGTTCCACGACGGAAGGACGCGGACAGGACAACCGCGAGGACGCCCCGAAGATGAGATAGGAACCAGTCGAAGACGAGCAACACACTGCCAGGAATAGACGAACCGACAGATCAGAGTCGTCGTACGTCGACGAATCAACTGGCGTCGCTCTCTGTCTACGCTGGCAGAGTCGCTTTTCAAATTGAGCTTAAAGGCTCGATTGAGCTTGGAGGATAACACCCTGCGGCGTGTATCAATACTGTCCTCGCATCGGTGACATAATAGACGCATTCACGTGCAACGCTCTTTCTTCCCCCTTTCTTTCTTTGCTGCGATTCGGGGAATTAAGATCGCTTATCTAATGAACAGATTAAACGTGGGATTGCTTCGTCTGATACCTGAGAACGATCAATTTTGTGACGTGTGACGTGATCGTAGAGAGTTTGCTGTCTCGTTTCTTCGTTTTTCTCTTTGCTTTGGAAAATTTTATCAGATGTGTATTTCTGGAGGATTATGCGAGAAGTTTTAATTCAAGTTCGTTGATATCGTGATCAGATTGTGAAGAAGTTTCGTGAAATGTGAACTTGATAGTCAGTTCTAAGATTTGATGTCCTCGCGAATGATGAATTCAGTTAATGAAGAAACGCAATTAAGCGAATGTATTTTTATCAAACTTGATGATTACAATATTTAATATAAGCGAAGTCTGTGAAAGAAATAAGACAGACTGTTCTTTCATAACTAAAATGCTTATATCTTATTTATGAAATTTTCTGCGTAAACTAGTATCGCAAAACATATTCTACTTTTCTTTTATTGGCTTTTATTGCTACTCACGTAACTCCTGAGGAGCTCGAGGGTGAACGCTGCGCCATGTTCCTCCGGGAGCATTATTTTCGTCACGAGGAAATCGAGATACAGTCAAGGGAGTACTATTGTTCGAGGGATCTGAATTCACTACATTTTCGAGGGGTGAAAATGTTGTTCAAGTGGAGACTTGTGTCTTCGACGAACATTCGATTGGAACTGCAACCACTGCGGAATCGATATCGTTTTGTTATCATGCAATGCATCCTATTGTGGCCGTACCTCTTCAGCTTCACCACCAGAGGGACTTGCTCTGCTCGCAAGTCCTTGCTCATGCTCCTTTTCATGCAAATGCAACCTCTGACCTAAGCCTAACTGTCCTTCGTACCTAAAGCATGGGTCCAGTAGGAGACTCAGGATGAAACACTTCTCTTTTTCCATTTCCTTCTCCATTTATCCTCACTTTCTACGTTCTCCTAACTGTTCCTCATGTCTAAAGCGCAGATCTGCTAGGAGACTCAGGATGAAACACACTTCCCCTTCTCTATTTTGTTTTCCACCTATACTCTCTCACCACCTGTCACCTAACCTAACCAAATCACTACAACTGGTGACTCTAGATGAGAAAAACAACATGCATCAACAAGAAAAATATAATATAGAGCGCCATCAACTAGACAGCAAGAGCAACGAGCAGCATCGTCAATAAGGTTGCATAGCTATAGTCAGTGGAAGCGATAGTGAGGTGACAATATCAGTCAGGCGTCAAAAATGACAAAATACACGTAATCAGAGCTCTAAAACAATAATTTGAGGGGGATAGGGAGCTGGAGCCTCGCTCAGGGCCATTCGCTGTAAACTCGGAATTACTTCCTCCATTGCAGTGTATTTAAAAAATTTGACTTGAATTACTATTGAGCAAGAGGCGATGGAGATTTAACCCTTTGAGTGTTTAGTCCGTACGTCAACCCGGAGTACGTGAAATTTACTTTGCAAGAGGTTCAGAGTCCGTTCAAATTATTCAAGATTAAATAAGAAAACATCAAAACATATTTCCTTATTATTCACAAGTAATTTAATTCATAAAAAAAGTTTCCACCTTTTTATCACATTTTAGTGAGCACTTAAAGGGTTAGGTTAGGTTGCATGTTAAATGAAAGGTTGTAAGTAGAAATTTTAGATATCAATTGACAAATGACAGTCGATCAATGCTGCTACTTAATATTTTTTTCGACCTCGTTATATCGCTTCCACCAACTATACATTCCTTCGCTAGGATGTGCAACCTCTCTTCCTAGAGTAGCCATGCAACTAGAACGTCAACTTTAGCTGATCGCAGTAGCTATTCCGTGAAACTTTCAGATAAATAAAGAATGAAACAATGTCCTGGAATCATACTTGAACAAACGGAGGTAAAAATTGTTGGAAAATTAAAAACAGAAGAATTTGAAGTTCGAAAATGCACGAAAGAAACTGTGACGATTTATTCGTAGGAAATCAATTGCAAATGAATCTCGTTAGGCTACAACAGTGTCACTATCTTTAATCGTACTTCCGAGACACTTTCCCACGCTTTTTCCTCATCTGTTTCCCATAACCTCTGCGCAGAGTGTTACATAAAACAAGTATTCATACAAATACTATCTGAACAGACTGCTCCTTATCCCTGCTGACGTAGAAAACGCTATCAAAGTATTTCAAGCTGTTCGATGACGCGTTAAACGATCCATTCGTAGAGATCATCGGTATTTTCGAGTTGTTCGATGGACCGGCACCTCTCGAAATTGCGTGAGTCCAAGAAAAGAAGCACTCGAAGGTGTAACGGGTTCCTCAGAGTTCGCCATTTGAGTTGAGGGACGCTGGAGCCGGTAAACGGGGAATTTTACGATCGGTTTGAGGGTGAAATGTATACACTGTGGTTAGGAGTGCTCTCGGAGGTTTTCGACACTGGGTAAATTCTTTTTGACGAGGATGAAAGAGCTCTGAGCTTGATTAACCCTTTAACGCTCGTGCACGTGTCTCGCACAATTTTATTGAACTATTTTCCTTCACTTTCCATATTTCTTCATCCCTTCTATTATGACAAAAACGTGTAATTTAATAATGAGAAACTTGGTTTTGTACGTCCAGGAAATAATTTGGAAAAAAATAAAGCTGATAATTTTTGTCACATCAAATTGAGGAAAATGTGAGCGTTAAGGGGTTAAACGATCACAATTCGAATTGAGGTGGAAGACTCGTATAACTCGCTAAAAATAAGGTGATTTTTGTGAATTCATTCTTAAGAAACTATGGAATAGATCTTTTTGAAACTTTTAGGATATTTCATTGAACATCTAAAAAAGTTTTAATATTTTCTAATACAGTAACTAATATTTTTCTCTAAATTATAATAACAATAATAATATCAATTTGTTTCTTTACTGATATATTGATAAAGGAAACCAAATTTCTTTGAAATTCACTCTCTGTTTCTATTCACTCTCGAGATTAGAAAACCAAAGTTAAACTGTAGAAAGTAGCACAACTGGTATTAATTTAAAAAAAATAATCCAGCGATTTTAAACGAGTTTAAGTAATTTCAAAAAAGGAGAAGGATATTTTACTCACGTTCCAGCCCATAGACTCAGCCAAGAAATTCGCGGTGTACTCGTTTTCATCTCTATCGCTATCAGTCTCCAAAAGTGCATCGACAGGCTCCTCAATGCTTCCCTCCAAGCTTAGCTTGTCTTCTTCTTCCTCTTCCGCTTTCTCATCCTCGTCTTTTTTCTTTGGAAGTGGTCCTTCGGCCAATTCCTGTGCTCGAACCTTCTCAGCCAGTAACGTGCCGAAATTTTCGAAGAAACCTCCATCGGACTCCTGTATTCTGTAAATAAAAATTTGAAAAAAGACCGAACTTTAAAGAGCCACTCTGAAAATTATGAAAATTCTATTTTTAAGACGGGTAGAAGAACGCAGAAATTTTTAATTGCTTCAACAAATGATTATGATATTTGTGTTAATGTTTTTTTTTTTTTTACAAGAAGCCAGTGATAAACGAAGAAAGCAAATGCTGAGCTGTGTTTGTAAAATAAATTTCTTATCATTGAGGTATACGTGACCTGTGTTTTTCTCAGCTCTGACCAATTTCGCTAATGGCGCTAAAAAGCGAGCTAATCAAAACCGTCGACTGGATTATCGTCCATTTTCACGGGCGACTCTGCAGTGCTAGCAACTATTACGTAGTTCTTTTGCATTATTACGTTCTTCAGATGCAATAAAAAAGTAAATCTTTTATTATTTCGTTCATAATTATGGTACTCTTTTCCATTGGTGCGATAATTGACACGTTTATAAGCATCATTTGATAAACAACAATGGCACTACTTTTGGATTAAAGTGAAATTGCTATTGCACTAAAGCTGTAAGCTTCATAACAAAGTATTACAGAAAGTATTCGAAAGCAACTATTTTGCATTCTACTATAACACAGAACTTGTGGACCATTTTCCAGAGCTGGACATCATTGAAGTTAATTACAATTGAATTCGTTCATTCTACAAGTGCAAAAATTAAACTTCTTCAATAATATTTTCATTTCAATTTTAACCTGTTAATTGGGTAAATTTCTTGTTCAAATATTGAATGTCACAATCGGTAGAAATTTTGGTCAATTATTTCGTTTCGTCCTTTTAAATTATTGTCAACGAGTACTTGCCTATCGAACTCAAATTTCGAATGTTAATAATAAGCAACGAGTTTAACAATAACAAAATAGATTACTTATTCACACTCCTGTTAAAAATGCAGTATTAAAAATAATATTAATCCTTCAATAAATACGCTATTGCGTCCTAAATATTGGTCACTCGAACGACGAATTAATTCATTTTCCTCGGCTAACAAGACGAATGAATTTACCATTAAAAAATAATATTTTTTTAATTATTCATTTTCTGTAGTTAACAGGCTGAATGAATTTACCATTAAAGAATAATACTTTCTTACTTATTCATTTTCTTCAGTTAACAAGCTGAACGAGATTACCCTTATAGGACAATATCTACATTTTCACTTGCTCATTTTCCTCAGTTAACAGGTTGAACGAGTTTACCATTAAGAAACACTACTTTTTCACTTTCGATCACGCAGCGCCTTTTCGTATCAAGCGAAAAATACTTGATCCCGTGAATAATTTAAACACAATTAATTGCTATGCGTCGAAGGAGTAAGTGCCCAGCTCTGCCGTGTTGTACTCTCGCGTGGTCTCACTTATACGCAACCAAGAACACGCTTCACCTTTTATGAATGAAGTTGAACGCTGCGAATTTCCAATAGAATCTCGCAGTGGTCACCGGCTTCGTTTCAGGATTTTGCCACATTCGAGCCGCGGCGATCACGTAGTAAGGATGCTGTTCGTCCAACTTTTCGAAGTGCGCCATTTTCCCTCTCTCCTTCCTTTCGGCAAAACACACAGACATCTCCGTTTCACACTTGCTTCACGATGCCAATTAACAAGAGACAATCGCGACAAAGAGGACGATTCACGAAACAAAGATGATTGTTTGCCAAGATTTCTGCAATTTCAACTAGAAACGAGCGAAGAATCGATTCGATTCGCGCATACTGATCAGTCTGCGTTCATGGAAGTAGCCATTTTAAGCTCCTATCTGAGAATTCACTGTAGTTTTTAAGTAATAATCTTCTCAACTTTGGTCTTTTAATGGCTTTTCCTCCTCTAGAGAATTATCTAACAATGTCAATGGGAATTATCACGTTTGAAGTATGGGAGAACCAGATTTGAAGTACGTCGATTTGTTTTGGTCTGACAGTAATTTCACAATAATTAACTTCCAATGGAGTAGTAAATGAGAATTATTTTTACACTGTTTCTGTAATTTTACGAAAGTGCTCACTTCACTGTTAACACTTTCATTGTCAAGCACGATTTACTAGCAGGTGAACGCGGCGCCGATGAAAAACATGTCGGTCGAGGCATGTCTGACAACGAACTGCTAGAGGACATCAGGGGAACGATAGTATAATAGAAGGAAGTAGAAGGCAGCAGGATGAGTGCAAGATCCACGCAAACACCCATTGAAATTTTCCCACAATTTCAGTGCGTCATTATCAAGATCATACTTCGTTATATATTATTCAAAAGTGTTTCATTTGTAGCTCAAGGTTTCGACTTAATTGACAGTGAACCATAAGACATGATACGTTCAATTTTTAATATTGCTTGCAATAATTTCTGATTTACCTTTATATGCTTCGTTATATTATTCAAAAGTGTTTCATTTGTAGCTCAAGGTTTGGACTTAATTGACAGTGAACCATGAAGCTTGACGCATTCAATTGTTAATATTGTTTAGAATAATTTCTTATTTTTCGTTTCATTCGAACAATTTAAATTTTCCCACAATTTCAGTGTGTCAGGTGACAAGATCATGCTTACATTATTATTCACGAATGTTTCATTTGTTGCTCAGGATTTGGACTTAATTGACAGTGAACCATGAAACATGATGCATTCAATTTTTGATATTGCTTGCAATGTTTTCTGATTTTTTGTTTCGTTTAAATAATTCGAAATTGTTCAACCTTCGATATTTCCAGGATTGAAAATTGCAGAATATAGGAAAATAGTTAGCAGTAGTGCGATCAAATAGGTAATTTGTATTCTTCGAGATAATAAAGAAGTACAGGGATCAATCATTTTAATTATTATCACTGTACTGGCTTATTATTTCGTCACAATACGGTGATTCGGGACAATGAAAATTCCTGCATGCCCCACTATTGATAACTTCTCAATTGTGTTCAATTGAACACACTCAGCTCTTCTCGTGTACTATTAATACCAGCTGAAATTCCCCGTTTATCAGTTTCCCTGAACAAATTTACAGAAGTTGCCTGCACGATTGATAATCTACTGGAAAGTATGCCTGTGACTCACATGATCCGCGACACTCGTGATTCAGTAAAAACCATAATAAATGCACGTACGGAAACCGAAGAGTGTTTAGATTCGTGGAAATTCTGTTTCCTTATCCAAGGGTTTCCTTTGTTTCAATTTCAAGTCACTGAAACAATTGACTTTTTTGTTTCGATTTCGAGTAATTCAAACAGTTGACTTTTTGTTTCGATTTCGAGTGAAAAAAGGTCCCCTTTGTTTCACTTTCGAACGACTGAAAAACCCTTTTGTTCCCATTTCGAGTGATTTTTCACTGTACTCAACTTGAAACAATTGACTTGAATTTTTCTTAACTTTTGTTTCTCTGTCGAATCGGTGAAATTTTTCTTTAACGCGATAACGACATTGAAATTTTCAATTTAATAAAAATAAGGAACATTAATGGTCACCGATTTAGAAAATTTGTTTCCGAAGGACTGTTTTCATTTATTTTAAGCTTTCACGCCGTATGCAAACAAAAGCAACCGGTTTTTACGTCATTTCTTTGTTTCTTTATTTTCGAG